TTTTTGTTTTTCTATTCGTCTATATACTGCTTTTGCATTAAGTGGATATCTTCTAGTACAGCATTTTAATTCTTATAATTAATTTTTGACTGCAGTTTTAGAGTTGTTTTAATAGTGCTTGTTCTATAGCTTATCATAGATGTCTTAGCCTATTAGAATCTGCTTCAGATTTATATTTAATAACAATGTATGCCACATACCTCTGTTCTTCCTCCCCCCTTTTGTGCCATTATTGTTACACATATTACATCTATATATTAAACAACCAACAATACATAGTTATAATTATTACTTTATATAAGTTTATGTCTTTTAAATTAGCTGACAGAAGAAAGGGGAGCAAGTATATAGTTATAGAGTTTGTTATATTAACCTTATTTACAGTTCTGGTTCTCTTCATTTATTCTGGTGCATTTAAATCATCACCTTACTCTAATACATCCTTTCTCCCTCCCCTCTCCTTTGTGCTGCTATTGTAGAAAATATTACATTTATGTATGTTGTCGTAGTACCAAACATATAATTATTTACATATTGTTTTATAAATTACATTTGAAATCAGTTAAGAGAAGAAATGAGGAGAAACATGCCCTTGGCCTGTGTTTCATAATTGCACAGTTACCTTGACCAGTGCCCTGTTTTTTTCTCATGTGCATTCAGATCACTGTCTTATGTCACTCTCTTTCAGCCTGAAGAACTTCCTTTAGTATTTCTTGTAAGATGTGTCTACTAGCAATGTTATTGCTTTGTATATCCGGGAGTATCTTTATTTTACCTTCTTTTTGGAGAGATAGTTTGCTGGATATAAGATTCCTGATTGGCAGGTTTTTCCCCCAGCACTTTGAATATATCACCCTACTGTTGTTGGCCACCATTGTTCCTTATGAGAAATCAGCTCTCAATCAAGTTGGAGTTCCCTTGTATAAATCTTTGTTTCTTGCTGTTTTCCAGATTTTTTGTCTTTTAACATTTTTACTATAATGTGTGTTTATTTATCCTGTTTGGAGTTTGTTTAACTGCTTGGATTAATGTGTAGATTAATGTTTTTCATCAAATTAGGGATGTTTTCAGCTATTATATTTTTGAGTATTTTTTCAGCTCCTTTCTTTTCTCTCCTTCTGATACTCTCATTACTTGTATATTGGTGTACTTAATGGTGTCCCACATCTCTCTGTGGTTCTTTTAATTTTTATTCATTCTTCATTCTTTTTTTCTTCCTTTCAATAGAGATTGGGTACTCACTATTGATCTATCTTCAAGCTTGCTGATTCTTTCTTCTGCCAAGCAAAATCCATTCTTGAGTCCCTCTAGTGAATTTTTAATTTCAGTTATTATAACTGAGCAATCTTTTCAACTCCAGAATTTCTATTTGGTTCTTTCTTTATAATTTCTACAATTTACATCTCTCTTGACATTATTTATTCTTTAAATGTGATTTCTTTTGGAGAAAACCTTCTTCCCCCAGGCTTCCTGCTGTGGTTGGGAGTGGGCTGAGCATGCCAGTTCCCTTAACCGTGACCCCAACACCTTGACCCTCCCTGTGGCCTTAGGCAAGTCACCCCCTTTTGCTGGCCCCAGGCCCTTGTGTGTGGACAAAAGGGCTCCCAGGGTCTTCTCTGGCATTAGGATTAGGTGGGCTATGGCGTCCCGAGTGGCATCTGGGGTGCTGCGGTCTGTTGTGCAAGTCCTTGTACCAGAATGTGGTCTGGTCTAAACCTGCCGTTTCTTTATTAAGGTCATTTATTCAGCACTTGCTTGGTGCCCAGTGTGAGCCACACACAGAAGACGGAACTCTGAAATGCTCGGAGGGAGAAAGCAGTGAGCACTCAGTGAACACCTGCAACTATAACATCACAAGGAGGGGAGCCTCTGTGAGCACAGGACTTAAGTTAGGCAGCTCAGCCTCCTTGTGGGGCGGGGCGGGCCTGTTTCCCTTCTTTTACACATGGGGAAACTGAGGTTGAACTGGTAACCAGAGAAACATGGGTATGAGTCAGGTCTGTCCCATGTTCCTCTGAAGCCATTTTCCTGTCCCCTTCTCTTGGACTCTCCTCTAGCCCAGCACTGGCTGCCAGGACACGGAAACAGGGGTGTGTATACACACACACACCAGGACACATATGCCTGGGCTCTCTCTTGATTATGTGATGAAAGCCAAAGCAGGGGTCAGGTGAGGGACATTTAGGAGCAAGGAGGTCCTGTCGCCTAGAAATGGGATCGCCATGGGGGTGGGGCAGGTCCTGACAGGGGCTATTGCTCAGTGGGCGGGAGGATGTTCCCGTGGGGAAGTGCGTGGCATGAAGGCATGAGGCGGAAGGGGATGGGATGTTTTGGTGGGAGATGGGGAAATCTTGGGGCAAGGAGCTTGTGTGAGACCCTGAGAATGTCCAAAGGACTTGTCCCTACTGCTGGGAACACGAGTCCCTGCAGTGGCCTCAGCCCCAGGCCTCCCAAATCTGAGGGGGCTTTGACAGAGCAGGGTGGTCCTTACTAGCCTGGAGCCCTTCTCTGCTATCCCTGCAGTCTTTGGAATGGTCACCAGATCTTAGAGTTCTTCTCAGGATGTGTCCCAGGTGCCCTCACTCCTGAGTTGGAACTGGAACCTCTTTGCCATGCCCCATCTGTCTGGGACCTTTCTCCTCACCTCCTGGGGACTTTGGCCGAGGATTGCACTGCCTGCGAGGTGGTAACGTGAAGAGGTGGACTTGTCCTGTCTCAAAGGCTACCTCCCCTTGTGGGAGCCTCCTTTCTTTAGTGACAGGGAGGTCAGGGATGAGGATGTGGACTTTGCTGGAAAGGTCTAGAGCTCGCAAACTGAACCTTGCTCGTGACTCCCCCAGTGTTGGCCCCTCGGCCTCCCATCCTTTGGGCACCCCCGTGTGAGCCACTGTGGAACTCACGGGCTCTCCTCTCTCCAGGTGGGTGTCTCCAAGCGGGAGGCTGCAATGAGACGGGGATGCTGGAGAGGCTGCCTCTGTGCGGGAAGGCCTTCGCTGACCTGATGCGCAAGGTGGACGTCTGGAAGTGGTGCAACCTGTCCGAGTTCATCGTGTGAGTGTCGCTGCTGGGTGCTTGGACCTGACCACAGCTCTGCCCAGGGCGCTGCCCATGGCCCGCCCAATCGCTACCCACTGCCCTACCATAGCCCGCCCCCATCCCGCCCCCACTCTGCCCTCGACACACCCCACGGCCCCGCCCACCCAGGCCTATGGCCCTGCCCATGTGCTGCCCAGACCTCGCCCACGCTTCGCCCATGGCTCCGCCCCCACGTCACTCACGGCCCCGCCTCTGTCCCCAACCACAGTCTATGGGCTCCCCACACCCACAGCCCCCATTCCGCACACTCACACTGACGGTCTAGCAACTCCGCCTCTGCTGCTGCCTCTCTTTTATCTGTCTGGGAATCCTCCCCGTGCCCCCTTCTCTTCTCCATCCAGGTTGGTGCCCTGCCTGGGGAGTGCCCTCTGTGGGTGGGGTGCCCTCCCCTGGGGGAGGGGGGGGTCGGGCTGGGTGGACATTGTCGTGTGTGTCCTTCTCACAGCACCAGCCAGGGCTGGGTCTGTCCTCAGCGGTCAGGGGGCCCTGGAGAAACTGGGTCCCGCTGGTGTCTACCAGGTGCGGTTGTGGACAACGCCTCACCGTCGAAGGAGAGCCTCTTATGCTAGAAGCTTACTGAGCTTTTTATCTCCTGTGGTCGCTGTCCATTAAGCACGGAGACACACTGTCCTCTAATCTCCTTGGAAATCGCCCGCAGGCAGCACAGCGCTCCGCCGCACCCCATCGCACCCGTGTCCAGCTACCGGAGCATTCTCGGCCTAGCGCTTTTGCGGCTGGCCCGGGTCCACCACCCCAGCGTGGGCCTGGCATAGTCAGTGTCCGGAGCTGCTCGCTGCACCAAATGGAATGGGATTTCTTAGTCTGCGGGGAATGGGGTGCTGGGGAGTCAGGAAGGGGTTCGGCCAGGCTTCTCCTTGCAGGTGGCTTCTGAGAAGGCGGCCTGGACCCAGGCCTAGAGTGGACTCCCGAAGTGGGGGTGAGGTCCGGTGGGATGAGGTCATAGCTCCTGCTCTGGCCCCTCTCTGGAACCTGCTAAAGCTGAGTGAAGAGATTAAACAGAGATGTCCAGCCCTGGGCTGGGAAGACAGGAGCGGAGACAACTGGGAAGGGCCTTTGGGAGTCAGACAGTGGGTCCGAGAGAGGCACTGAGCACCACTGGTGAACCAGAGGTCAGTCCAGGTCTAACACCCAGGTAGTAGGAGTTCTAGAAAGAGAGAACAGGGGGTTGGGGGATTCAGGGCCTTTCCTGGGGCTGAGGGCAGGAGTTTGCAGCCTGCCAGGGCTCACCCTATCCTGGCACGAGGGATGAAAATGTCCCATATGGACGGTGGGATATCAGAGCTGTGGAAACAAAGGAAAACTTCTATGTGTGTCCGGAGAGAGAGAAAAAGGGCTCCACAGTGAGATGAGGGGTCAGCAGGCCGCCAGGCTGCCATGGCACAGCTCTGGAAACCAGAGGACAACTGGATGCAAGGACTTGAGCATTCTGAAGGACCGTGATTTCTCAGCTAGAACGCTGTTGCCGCCAATCTATCCACCCAATAGGGAGAAATGAAAACCCTGTCAGATGGCAGCGCAGCCAACATCTTATTCCCACGTGCCTTTCCTGAGAAGCTCACCAAGGCGTGTGAGGACACAACAAAGGAAGATGTGAGGTTTGGGGAACAGATCCAAGGCAGGGGAGAGAAGCCCTGGGGCAGAGGGCGTCCCAGGGTAGCAGTGTGCTTGGGATGGAGGCAGCCTGGGCCCCCTGGATGGCGCCTGATGCTTATCCGACGAGGTCGCTGCTCTCTGTGTGTACCCTGAAGCCCGTCTGGGCTGAGGATGGAGGACACCCCCTCCCCTACATGTTCTGCTTTGGCCCCCACTGGAGCGGGTGGGCCTTGGTGAGCTCAGAGGAGAGGTGGTTTCCTCCCCCTAAGTGTGACTGGTCCACATGACAGCCCCACCAGGAACCCTGACTGTAAGACCCTATTCCCCAGACTCACCTGCCTGTGGCCTGACCCCCACCTTGTAGGGGGGTCCCGTTGTCCCTTGGGGCAGCCAAAGCATGTCTTCTTCTGGGAGCCTCCCTCCAACAGCCCCAGTTGGCTCCTCCTGTATCCAGTTGAGGGGGCGGTTGCTATGGGGTTTCCTAGTGCAACACTATTGCCTGGGAACACAAACTCAAACTCAAGCAAGGCACCAACTAGCGCAGGTGGTTGGGGGGTGAGGGAGTCTGACTGGGGAGTTTGCCCAGCTTCCAGCCTATGAGCCCTTCCCTGGGTTGTGGGTACATCTTTAAGGAGGGCGTTCTGGGGAGCCAGATTAAAAGTGGGGGAGTGGGGAGACCCCAGATGACCCAGGGGTGTCTCAACCATAATCGGTTCCTAGTTTTCTAGAGAAACACCGGGGTGGGCATTTGTGCATGTGGCTCCCATGAGTCAATCCACAGAGATGGTGCTGTGCTCGGTGCTTCCCCAGGGCCTAGCTGCCAGGGTGGGCTTGCTCCAGTACCCACCCTGTGCCAGGCACTTGTTGGGGCGTATGGATGTCAACTCATTTGGTCCTCTCAACCACCTGACTGGGTAAATGCTGTTAACCTCATTTACAGACAAGGAAACTGAGGCTCAGGGAAGGATAAGTAACATGCCCCAAAGCACAAAGATAGTGGCTGTGCTGTGGCTAGAGGAACCCTGTCATGTTGGCTCTGCAACCTGAGCCCAAAGCCACTGTCCATGCTGTCTTCTGGGTTTACCCCTGCCCCTCGGCTCCCCCACGCCACCCAGCCCTGGCTGGGACGGGGATTTGGGAACAGCAGGGGTGTTCAGCCCTGCTCATCTTCTCTTGGGGCAGCTGTGGAGCTGCACACCACTCTCCTCGCCCCGTAGGCTCACTGTCCACCATGGGCCTTCCCCTGGGGTCTGGCTGGCTCCTCTCAGCCCTGGGGATGGTCGCTGTGGGTGGCATTCCTGGGTAGCAGCTCAGTGGAAAGGCTTCAGAGGCATGGGGGTTACAGCACGTGGTTCTCATCACACACTGAGATGCTGGGGACTTCTGAAGACACAGGATTTTGCAGGGTGTGGTTAGATGGCTCCTCAGCTCCCAGGTCAGCTGGCTAGGGGTTGGTAGCAGGCTATTGGGTCTGGGGCCCTGTGGGTCTCCCAGATCTAGGGAGATCAGGGGTCCCCCTGGGTCTGGGGCCCTGTGGGAGAGCAGGTCTAGGGAGATCAGGGTTTGCCCATGGACCTGGCTGTTGAGCTTCCCCCAGTGCTGGATGTGTCCCAGGGGCAGCGTCATGGCAGGGGCCTGGGAGAGCCCACGGCTCTGGACTCAGATTTGAGGCCATTCTTTTTGCTCCTCTGGGTTTTCCTTGCCAAGGTTACCTGGAAGGGCACAGGTGTGTCTGATGTGCATTCCAGAGTTGATGCTGAGAGTCAGCCCGGGCTGGGTGACTGTGCCTGGGCTGTCCAGACCCTGCCCAGGAGGGGATCACCAGGAGGGCCCTGGGCTGAGTGGATCTTTCTGATGCTTTGGGAAATCCAGACCTAGGTGGTGTTCATGCAGGAAGTGCCTTGCAGGAAGTGGCTCCTTCCTGTTGATGGGCCAGATCAGTGGTTCCCTCTTGGGACAGCACAGGAAGAAGAAGGTGGACCACTTGCCTGTTCCCATGAGGAAGCTGAGGCAGGACCCCTCGCCCTCCTGCATCTGGGCATGGGAAAGCACTGGGCAGGTGTCCATTAGCTTCCTCCAGAACATTTTGGATGGGTGGCTGCCAACTTAGGCCTTGCAAACCCCAACACCAGGCAGGGCACCACCTCTGGAGGCTGCCTGTTGCATCATGGGCCAGGTGGTTGTTGGCATGTCCTTTATGTTGGGCAGAACTCTGGGTCCCGGTAGCTGTAACCCTTGGCCGGCTGCGGGGACTGTCCAGAGCCTGCCTGCTGGGTGGACCTGGAGCATCATGGATGGTTTGCTGAGTGCTCTTGATCTCAAAGATTCCCACGTGTCCTTCCAGATGGGGCTGAGGGAGGTAGCTTCTGAGCAGGAGCTGGAGAGGTGGGGGCTGGGCTCACAGGTCTGTCCCCCCTTGGCCACCACCTGGCACATGAGGGCAGGTTGACTTCATTGGAAGGTGGCTGGACTCTGGCCTTAGAGAGAACCTCTTCTTGGGCCCTTAGGGTGTCCCTAGATGATGAAGGTGCCATGCATACACCTCTTGACCCTGGAGAAGCATGGCTTTGTGTGTGCTCTGCGTAGACCTAGGAAGTGCTGGGGATCTGGGGGGCTTGGCTGAGATCTTGGATCCTGGGAGTTCATGGCTTCAAAGGGAGCCAGTCACAGTCATTGATGATGCAAATGTGGGCAGGAGTCACAGGGAGTGGGTCACAGGCATAGAAGACCCCATGACTGGGAAGTGGCTTTTCCAAGGCTGTGCTGAGAGTGGGTGGCCAAGTGAGACTGGACCCAAACCACCCCCACCCATCCTCCTGGCTCCAGGGCCACGGTGGCCATGAGGAGGGCATGGGGAGAGCCTACTTGTCATCCGTCTGCCTTTGCAGGTACTACGAGAGTTTCACCAACTGCACCGAGGTGGAAGCCAGCATCGTAGGCTGCTTCTGGCCCAACCGCCTGGCCCAGGGCTTCATCACTGGCATCCACAGGCAGTTCTTCATCAACTGCTCTGTGGACAGGGTCCACTGGGCGGACCCCCCTGACGAGATTCTCATCCCGCTGATTGCTGTGCCCATCCTGCTGACCGTCGCCATGACAGGCCTGGTGGTGTGGCGCAGCAAACGTACTGACACACTGCTGTGAGGGCCTTAGTGAGATGGAGAGGGCCACTCCCGGCAAGCTGGAAGAAAGTTCCCCGGGGCTGGGAGAGCTAGTCGACATTGCTACCATCCTGCCATTGAGGCCATACCCCACCCAGACCCTTCCCAGCCCAGGCTCACCTGGTCCCTGGTGGCTGGCCTACCCCTGGCTGGGGCTCAGGCTGTCTACCCAAGATCTTCGCTTGTTCTTGGGCAAGTAGAAGAATACGTGCCAAGGCCAGAGCTTGTGTGGTGGGCACAGAAATCACCTGCTGCTGCACTCTGTGCTCCCTCAGGCTGGGCTGGAGCCTCTGCCGTGGGGTTTCTGAGCCATGTCTTAGCAGAGTCCTGCCAGGCCCTGCCCCCATCTCCGGCCTCTACCTGTACCCCAGCAGAAAGGGCCGGGGAGGGCATTTGGAAGATGTTCTGTGCTGTGGAACCCCTGAGCCCTCCTGGTGGGAAGACCAGGCCCATCCCATGGCTGGGAAGGCTGGGAGATAGAGGGCCAGGCCGGGGCTCTCAGGAGCCATGCATGGCCTGTCTGTTCCATCAGGATTCTGTGACCACTGTGGGTTGTGCCCATGACCAGGGACTGGGGTGGGGGTGGGTCAGAGCCCCTCAGCGGGGCCTGCCTTGTGGGTGGGGCCTGGGCCTCCTTCCTAATGGGGCTCCCCTGTGAGTGAATGTGTCCCCTGAGCTCATGTCCTCTGTCTGCTCCATCTGTGCTTTCTCTGAGTAAAGAGTCACCCTACTTCTGGAATTTCCTGTTTTATTTCATGGCATGAGAGATGGTGCGTCTTTGGGAACTGACATGTCTCCTATAGCTATTTTACACATAGGGAGTGACTGAGGTCCCAGAATCCCAGATTGTGAGCGCTCAGAGAGCTAAAAGGGGGAGTGGATTGAGCTTCAAGTCAGTGACAAGTTAAAGAAAAGAAAAGAATATAACAGGCGAGGGGGCAGACAGGAGGAAGGACTTGCCTATCCCGCTCGTAGCCTCCCTGGGCACTTCCCACTCCAGTCCCTGTGCTTTTGAGGATGAAGGGGAGGATTTCTCTCTCTGAGGCTGCCTTGGGCATGCCGGGCCCCACCCAGTGTGTTTTCTGGGGAAGAGGGGAGGCCCTGGTCGGGTCTGGCCGGGGGCAGATGCTGGAGGCCGTGGAGCAGCGGGGCGGAGGGGCTTCGTCTCCAGGTCTCCGGCCAGGCCCTTGGCCATGTTCCAGTTCCACAGACCTGCATCTTTTGGATGTGGGCTGTTGGCTCCAGAGTCCCCTCGCTGTGAGTGGAGGCAGGAAAGGCTCTGGCAGCTCCTGAGCCTTTAGGGGCCCGATTCCCCCGCAGTGCCCAGGCGGGCAGGTTCTGGCATTGTGGACACCGCGACCACCGTGTGGGGCATGAGGTCCCCCTCCTGGGGTGACCTCCTTGACCTCTGCCCAGCACAGCTTCTGGCTTTGGGTGGCCCAGTGTCCCCATGAACTCCGCTAGATCCCAGGGACAGGAGCCCCATGGGGGTGAGGGTCCTGTGAGGATGGGGTCCCTGGGAGTCAGGGATGAAATTCCTAGGAGGGTGAGGATTCCTAGGGGGAGGTGGCAGGGGTTCCCTGGTGATAGGGATTTTGAGGGGCAGTAGGGGTCCAATGAGGGGCATTCCCAGGGTATGGGGGTCCCAGGGGCAGGGCTCCTCAGGCACCTTTTCCAGCTGAGGTCGAGTGTCAGGCTCTATCTAGACAAATGCTTCTCACGCTCAGCACTTTTTGGAGGCATCTTGGATATTCCTGCAATGCAAACTCCACACCTGGCAGGAGCTGTGAGCTCCCCTCATCAGGGACGGGGGCGATGGTGTGGCCGCACTGCTGTGAGTGCAGGTCCCCGAGCCGGCTGGGAACACAGGCAGCCTGTGCCCAACGCCCTGCAGAGTGTCACGAGGCAGGCAGGGAAAGAAATGTTTGCTGAGCACTGATTACGTGCAAGAGACGTAACTATCCAGGGAGTAAGAGGACTCCCTACCTGTGTTACCTATTTGGATCATTTTTCCACATTTTCACTTATTCACATGTTTTCTCCAGGGTACCAAGGGTCCAGGGTGCCAGGGCCGCACAGGGAATGTGCATATGTGTGTGTATGTGTGCGTGTGTGTGTGTGTCAGAGGCAGGGACAGAGCGTGTATTCTAGGAGCTTCCTTACCTAAAAATTTCTTAAATTCTGACGGTTCTTCCCAGTTTACACAATCATTATTGTTTTGCAGATGTGGAAATTGAAGCTCAGAAATGTGAGGGGTCTATGCTGATGAGTGCCCTATTCTATTTTCCCTGCCTGCTGCCCCTCTAACTGCAGCCCTGAGAGGTGACAGCAACAGCCTCGAGAGCCCCTCTGGACCCCTGATCTGCAGGAAGCAGAGTGGGCTCCCTCTGGCCAGAGCTGGGCCTGCCCCGACCGCTGCAAGTTTCTAGCATGCAGGAGGCTGCCAGGGTCCCCTGCAAGGTGACTGGCCTGATCTCTCAGTCTAGCACAGCCTCTGTGCCCCCAGCCGGGTGGTGGTTGTGTTGGAGCACAGCCACAGACCTGTCCATGGCACGGTGACAGCCCTACCTCAGGGGTACTCATCCATGATTCTGCTCTGTGGGCAGAACCAACTGTGGCCCTCAGGTCCCCCTCCCTGGGCACACCCAGAAGACCCTGCCCACTCCAGCCCTTGGGGAGGGAATCGAGCCTTACCTCTGAAAGGCCCCCAGGGTGGCATGGGTGGAGGAGGTCTGGAAGCATGGCAGAGCCGGATGTGGGAAGGTAGGGGGGTTGGTTTGGGGATGAAGGTCTCTGCAAATGCACGTTATTTAAGTCACCCTTGGCTTCTCCCATGACACCTCTACATAGCTTGCCCCTTCCAGCCTCATTTCAATTGCAGAACCGTTCCGTACCCAGGTACCCTGCGAGGCTCTGGGGGGCAGTGGGAGGGGAGCCACTGTTTCTGCAGGAGCAGCGCCTCTGGAGGGAAGGGGAGAGGTTTTGGTATGTCCACACCAAAACACAACATGGAACTATTCAGTCGCTGCTTCTGCACAGTGGCCTCAGAAGAGGCTCCTCTGTGGGTGTCGAGGGAATGTGAGCCTTTCTTTCGGCCACCTCGGCCCATCCACTCCTCAAACGTGGGCAAACGTGGGGTTGGCACCGAAGGCGGCTATCAGAGGGTAGCAGTGCTTATCCTTGGCAGAGGCTATTCCAGAGGGGGCCACGGGCCCTGCTGCTGAGGTCACTGCAGTGGCAGCTGCTGACCTCGTCCATTGGAGGCTGGGCTGACAGGAGCAGCTTGTGACCTTCATTCCCTGAATTGTCCACGTGCCCTCTGTGAGCCAATTCTCATCATTGAGGAGGTGACTCGTCAGGATTGGCAGAAGTCACGTTGCCAAGAGGGGAGATCTCTAGAACACAGGCCTGGATCTCTGCTGAGCCCTGGCAATTACTGATGTCACCTGGGGCAGTCCAGGGGGACAATGAGCAGTGTGGGGGCTGAGCACTGTGACCTCGAGGACTCTGACCGCCATCTGAAGCGTGGCTGTGAGGAATTGTGAAGGAAATTGCCTGCACTGGGCTGGCCTGGTTCCGAGGGCCTGGGCACAGCGTGCTCCAAAACAGGCTTTGAGCCCACGCTGAGGCTCGGACCGAGCATGTGGCTAGTGACGCTCACACAGGGTGTTCGCCACATCCCTGCTCATCATGGGGAGGCATTTATTATTAAATACATTTTGAATTTTTCAACTGATGGGATTTTATGCAGTTTTATGGACCCCAGGGGTTAGAAGGACTTTAAGAGACCCCGGGATTTCTTCCGGTATATATGAAGTGAAAAAGTAGAATATAAAACAGTATTAGGATCCACTTTGGAAGTGATGTGAAAAACTTTGTGAACCAAATAACTATAATGGTGCGGATCATAAAAAAACAAAACACAAAGCCATTAAAAGTCTCTGGAAATTGTCTTAAGGCCACATAGCAAACAAAGAAACATTTATTAAAGAAAATGTGTCAAATCCGGGTAAGAACAGAGAGCATCTGTAGCACTTGAGCTGTGGCTGGTCCATGGCTCCCTGCCCCAGTTCAGAGTCCCAGAAGACAGAGCTCCCTCTCCCCAGCTCCAATTGGGACATCTTGACACGGTGTCCCCTGGGAGGATCAGGCTGCCAGCACTGCCCATGCCCCAGCCCCAGCACTGTGGTTCAGGGCCGACCTCCAGGCAGGAGCGAGGTATGGGCTCTCGACAGATCCTTGAGAGCCAGAGGCTGGACGGCTCCAGGCCCTCTCAACACCCACCTGGGACAGCAGGATGTCACTGCACAGGGCATGCCCACAGGATGAGCCCTCCCTGTGGGTCGGTCAGAGAAGTCTCCAAAAAACGTGAGAGCCAATGGATAAGAGGAATGCACCAGACAGTCAGGGGACTGGATCTGCCTCGAGGGTGGTGAGGAGCGAAGTGGGCTGGCTAGAAGGCCGCTGGGTCAGGCCATTTCACAAAAAGTAACGGGAGGTCATGGAAAGGCTGTGTTCAGGGGCGTGGGTCGCATGACAGGAGCCGCACTTGGGTAGAGGTGAGGGGTCCTGGGCAGGAGGACCAGCCCCGCCTCGCCCCAGGGGTGGGGGCAGTGGAGGGGAGCTGGGGGCATCTCTGCAACACCAGCTTCCTCTTGGGGACATAGGAGCCCTTGACAGAGAAAGACAATCCATAGGGGACACAGGGTGCAGGCCTGACAGCAGCTCTGGGTGCCCCATTCCCTCCCCCAACGGGCATCTGTTTCCTTATGTCTACCATGAGGTGCTCAGGAGCCTCGTGGCTGGCTGTGCCAACCTCTGCCTCTCCCCGGGTGGCTTTTGCTCTATCAACTGTTGATGCAGCATGACCTCTCTCACTGCACAGGAGGACGTCCCATCCTGGCCCCTGGCTGCCGGGACTGTGAGCTCTGTGCCCACCTCTGTGCATGCAGAGGCTGGAAGGCATTTCAAGGCACTGTCTGTTTTTTTTATTTTTTGAGACAGATTATCACTCTGTCACCCTGGGTAGAGTGCAGTGACATCATCATAGCTCACTGCAACCTCTTACTTCCAGGCTCAAGCCATCCTCCTGTCTCAGCCTCCTGAGTAGCTGGAACTACAGGTGCATCACCATACCCAGCTAATTTTTTCTGTTTTTAGTACAGACGGGGGGTGGGTCTCACTCTTGCTCAGGCTGGTCTTGAAGTTCTGAACTGAAGCGATCCTCCCGCCTTGGTCTCTTGGAGTACTAGGAGCACAGGCGTGAGCCACTGCGCCTGGCTTAAG